CTTGAGGCATTAAAAGTGGCATCACAGCAAACTGTTCATATTATGTGGGAAGTATTAATGAACAATGACTGCTCTTTCATTTTAGTCAGGAAGCGATATGATTTCAGTTGTCAGCATGGCCAGAGATGTTACAGTGTTCTCTACTTGCATACATTTCAGATAAGTGCATAATTCACTTAACTGTATAACATAAAGAAGACCAAAATGGTCTATTGCTTACATTGTAACTAATTGCTTATTGGTTAAGTGCATAAACTAAGGTGAAGTAAATTAGGTGCTATCAATTTCAAGGATTCTTACTCAGTCTTCAACTGAACAGGACCTGCCAAAGCAGCTATTAAAGGCATAGGGTGCTTTGAAAAACAAAGTAACGTGTCTTAACGAGACAAAAAGCTTAGGCTATACAGTTCATGAGCACTATTTACCTGGAGTTCTGATAAGGACATGCTCCCTGTAAGTCTTTCTTCAGTCCTAAAGCTATGCACTCATTGCACTGCACTTTCTGGTAGTCTATCTTATCTACATATGCAAAGAGAAATGTGGCCTCTGCTTAGGTAAGGTTTTTGTTTTTGTTTTTGTTTTTTTCTCTTGATTTTTTTTTCTTTTGGAGTTTGTGGCGGGGGGTAGGGGTTATGGAGAGGGGCAGCCTGGAAATGCTTGTGAAAGCTTAAATATTATATAAAAATCAGCAATGTTATCTATTTAACTTTATATAGAAACCTAAGAGCTTTTGTTTTTAAAAAAGCTAAAAGGGGTAAATGTAAATTTCTATTTTACTTTTCTGTTGGATTGACTGTACAATGAGATGTAGAGAGAGAACATAAGGGTTTTTTTTAAGTATTAATGGTGACTTCATTGGATGTTGTAAATTGTTTTGGAAATCAGCACCATTTGAATGGTGCAAAACCCTGGGTTCCTTATTTTTTCCCCTTTTCATATGGTACACAAGGAAAAAAACCTTCAAAAAACCAATATATTTTGGAGGCAGAAGGCAAGGCAAGGCAGCATCTTAGAAACTAACTGATTCAGGGAAGCATGATATATCATAGGCAACATCCCACTTCATTAGATGCTAAGAAAGGACCCGTGAACTATGCAAGAGAATGTATGATTGCAATAGAATAAACAGTTGTTGCCTACATTAGAAGGTTGCACCAAATGGACTAAATTTAACTTAGTAGGATTTTCTATGAATAGTTTATGTAAAATAGAAGGAAACTGGTTTTATGTAAGATCAGTCAGTTTTCTTCTGCATAAAAATGGTTGACAGACAGAGCCAGATAGAAAGGAAAACTGGCCAGCATCTTTTAATCTCCTTCCTTTTGGTAGCTGTTTCTCCATCTCAGTATTTGGATGGGAGTGAGGGTATCAACAAATGTGGCAAGGGTCATACGTAAGAATTAGGAGAAATAACAAGCAGGGAGGTATCATCCATCCTTATGTGATGCTTTGGAAATTTGTATGTACTCTAAGCTACAGCAAGCCAGAGGTTCCTGACTCTTATTCCTTTGCAACTGCCACAGACCTTGTTTTAGTGCTTTTCATTCTGACCTTTCCCCTCTGTACTCATAATGTCAGTCTCTTGACTTCATCCAGCACTTCCTTCCGTTCCTTGTCCTCCCTCAAACTTTGTATTGTCACTGAATCTTTTGATATCTTAGGCTTCCTTTTAATGCAACCAGACTTAAAGATTTTCTAGTGTCAAGCTGAATGGAAAAAAAGTATGCAGCCTATTTGCTGTACCATAGCTTCAAATTACCTTTTTAAACATGCACATGTGAATAGAAGTATGCCCTTCCTGTGAAGAAAGTGTCAAGAGCTTTATAAATAGTAAGCTAATGTGAGACTATTATCGATATTAAGTGCATTGAACAATGTATATTTATATTTAATTATATAGCAAGGCTAAGAGCCTTTAAACCGGGATAAGTTGACACTCGCATAATTTAAAAATAGTTCCTTCAGTAATTACATGCTAAGTTTTAGGCCAGATCAAATTTTTATAGGTAAATTGCAGGGGGCACCACATAGATTATAAAAGTGTTATCATATTTAACTTATGTCATGCACCAGAGGATTTTGTACAGTATGGAAATGGAAAGGGGACTATATGACTGTGTAAATCTTGAGGAAACCTTTTACCTGTACCATATGGAGATATATGTATAGTCCCAACACAAAGTTAAATATCTTGGCCCATCTGAAAACCATTGGATTATATGCCCAAATTGGGTGATATCATGCCATTGATGGGAACCTTCAATTTCCAGACATCTACTGGAAAAATACAGCCAAATATAAAATATCAGGAAAGCTGCTAACTTGTGTGGAGGGCAGCTTTCTGTTCCAAAAGCTTAAGTATACAACTAGGGGATCATCTATCTTAGATCTCGTCCTGACTAATAGGAAAGAACCGGTGGAGGATGCGAAGGTGATAGAAAACTTGGAAGGAAGAGATCATGATATGATAGAAGTCAAGATCCTGAAAATTGGGAAAGCATGATGTCAGCAGAACTAAAATATTAGATTTCAAAAAGTTTGATTTGGAGTGACTCAAGGAGATGGTAGGCATGGTGCCATGAGAGGACAGACTAAAGGATAAAGGTACCCAGGAAGGTTGGAAGCTTGTAAAGGGCACAGTATCAGAAGCCCAACAAAAATCCATTCTGACACAATGGAAGCACAAGAATAGCAAGACAAATATGGCTATATGAAGAGCTTCTAGGAATCGAGTGCAAAAAGAGAGCATACAGGCATGGAAAAATGGGCAAGGTCACCAAGGAAGCATACCAGAAAATAGCAAGAGCTTGCAGGAACAACATCAGGAAAACAACAGGGAAAAAATGAACTTCACCTTACGAATGAAGTTAAAGATAACAAGGTTTTTTAAATATGTTGGCCAGAAAAGAAAAACCAAAGAAGTTGTGCATATGCTGTTAAATAGCTATAAGAATGCAAAGAAGGCGGAGTTGCTCAATAGGTACTTGCCTTAGTCTTCACAAAAAAAAGGCTGCAATTAGGCAGCTAATGAAGATTATTTGGATAAGGAAAGGAACAAGATGAGGGATGAGAAAATAAAAGAAACAATCAGAAAGCTTTTGATGCATCTAAATGAATTCAAGTCAACAGGGCCCGGTGAACTTCATCCCAGGATAACGAAGAAACTGGCAGAAGAAATCTCGGTGCGCTTGACAACGTTTACAAATTTGCAAGAGGAAGGTGAGGTACCAAAGGACTGGGAAAAGGGACAATATAGTGTGTCCCTCTTTAAAAAAGACAAGAAGGAGGACCCAAGTAACTAGATAACCTCACCTTGATACCTGGAAAGTTACTGAAGCATAGTCTAAAGAAGTCCAGTTGCGAGCAGTCAGCATGGATTTACTATCAATAAAGCATGTTAGATAAACTTGATGTCCTTAGAAACAAGACAATTAGCTGGGTGGATGAAGGGAATGCAGTGGATATTGTGCATCTGGACTTCAGCAAGACTTCTGACAAACTTTCACATGACCTTCTGAAACAAACTGCAGAAGTGTATGCTAGACCAAACTACTGTAAGGTGGACAAACTGGCTCAATAGCTGCAAGCAAGGGGTTATTGGCTCCATGTTGGAATGGCAAGAGGATTTGAATGGAGGTCCCAGGATCTGTCCTGGTCCCAGCTGTTCAACATGTTTATTAATGATCTGGATGTTTGAACAGAAAGCTCCTTGAGAAAATGCATATAAGATATAAAACTAGAAAAGGCTGTGAACACACTGACAGCAGGAGCACAATTCAGAAGGATCTTTAGACTGGAAAGCTGGCCTGGAGCTAACAGAATGAAGTTCAGTACAGACAAATGCAAGGTGCTACACTTCAGGAAAAGTATTAAAAAACGCACATTAAACATGGGAGATGCTTAGTTATGCACTACACAGAAGGATCTGGGAGTCTTAGACACAATATGAGTCTGCAGCGTGACACAGCTGCACAAAAGATGAAAGCAGTTTGGGGCTGTATCGCTAGAAGCGTTATATACAAGATAGAGGAGGTAATAGTGCCTCTTGCCTTTTGGCAGCAGTTAGGCCTCATCTACAGGACTGTGTGCAGTTTTGCTCTCCACAGTTTAAAAAAGAAATGGAGAAGTTAGAGATTGTCCAGAGGTGGGCAACAAAAATGATAAAAGTTTGGGAGGAAAGCCAAGTGAAGAGAGACTGAAGGAAAAAGGCATGTTCAGTTTGCAGAAAAGGCACCTAATATGGAATATGATAGCAGTCTTCAAATATCTTAAAGGCTGGCACAAAAAAGGAAAGCACCTTTTCCCTCTTGCTGCAGAGAGGAGGACTGAAGTTGCAGCAAAGTAGGTTCTGGTTGGATATCCAGAAAAACTTCCTCACTGTTAGAACGGTGAGGCAGGGAATTCACTGCCTAGGGACTCTCCATCACTGGAGGTCATTAAGAAGTTGGACAAGCATTGCTCAGGGATGATCTAGGAATAGCTATGCCTATACTATGCATTTTCCATGCTTCTGGGCTTTGTTGATTGTCACATGGGGATGGGAAGGAATTATTTTCCCCTCCTGTTCCTACATATCAAGTTTTTCTTTTTTTTTTTCCCCCATCTTCCTCAGTGGCATTGCAGCCGAGGCTAGGGATTTCAACTGGAGTGTGTCAGTGCTCCTGCTGGGACTAAAACCCAGAAGTCTCTAGTTAGAGGGCTGTCCTCCTGCTTTACCTATGGGATGTAGGGTGTTGTTCGTGTCAGGGCTGACTGTGTAGTTTTACTAATAAGTAAGACGAGGATTTGCAGGGTATGGTTTGGATAGAAATGATCCTGTCACAGGCAGGGGGTTGAACTAGATGACTCTCAGAGATCACATCCAGCCCCACTTTTGTATAATTTTATGACTGGGAAATTTATTTTAGGAATGTAAATGAGAGAAAACCTTGTAAAATATCATGTCTAACATAGTGCTTTGAAATGAAGAATATTATTACAAACACATTTTACCAAAGAAATGGGAAAAATGCTTATTTTAATAAAAGGTTTTAATTCTAACATGACTACATAATGTACTACTAACTGTAAAAAAAAAAATTCTAAATTACTTTTTCCTGTGCTTGACAGTTCTTCTCTTTGTTCATATAAATGACTAGTAAAAAAAAAAAAGAAGAGGGAATGTGAATGAGAGAACTCATCTCAATCCAATACCCCCTTAGAATGATTAGTTATAGTAGAATAAATGAGGTTAATAGTCATCATAATTAACACTTGCTCCATGCCTGAAGGTATGTGGATTTCGTGGACCAATAGGTGCATCTTCATCATAATGGTGCTGGTAATGTCCACCATAGTATTCATTGCCACCCCGTCCCAGGCTTGTCCAGTAGGAGACATCATCTTCAAATTTCTGCAAACCAAAAAGGAATTTATCTGCTCGTATTCTAGACTTTTCAGCCTTTATATACAAAGGAGAAAGTAACAGTGGTGTTGGTTTCGGGAATCTCTGATTTGGAAAATGTGTATTTTTAAAATATTTTTGGATTTACAGATATGTTATACACAGTATTAACCACTCAACAAATAAAGAGAATATTACACCAAAAATATAAAAAAGTACTTTGGAGAAGCTAATTTTTAGCATAGTGCTGATGATCAGAAACACTTGGATGATTTTAAATTAGTAAACAGTAGGTCTGGTTTTCTCTTGCCTTGCACCATGTGTAGAGGCATGCACTCTGGAATATAAAGTTAGAGTTAGTGTGAAATATTTTTCATTCACATATGTGTGTGTGTGTATGTGTGTGTGTGTGTGTGTGTGTGTGTGGTTACAATGTGTCAAAGAAGAGAAGCTCATGCTCTGCAAAAATACTGAGCAGGAACCTTTCTTCCTATTCAGAAAGAAAACACAAGCAAGTTAGAGGGATGGTATCATGTGCAAGAATATCAAGTATCTGCCAGACCAAATTCTCGCCTCTGAAATAAGGATTAAATTGAAGATTTTAACTGCAGTTTGAAAAAAGTTTTTTTTGTGAATTTATTTCTGAACATTCTTTTTAAAGCATTGCTAAACTACTTAATTGCTGTTTTTATTATACAGATTCAGAGCTTTAAAACTTTTGAAACGTATGTCCTAGTATTTGTTAACCAAGAAATCCTAAAATCCTGATTTATTATAATCCAACCACATGCTTGATTTCAAGCAGTTTTTTGAAATATGCATATGCAATTCCAAAAGGAACACTTAACATTATGGGGAGAGTGCTCAATCTTTTGTTACCTGTTTAGTATATGCCTATAGTCTTGAATCTCTGAGGCACTGAATGACTTGACTTATTCCTTTATGTTCTGATTAAGTGCATGTCTCCACACAAAATAATTTAATACTTTTTATTTACAGGACATATAGAACCATTACAAATTTTATTCTCCATTATCCCACTCCAGGGAAAGGAATATATAATAATTTAAGATTAAAAAATCAGCAGTTTTATTTTCTAAACAATCCACACAGCCTTGGAGATTTTACTTTAATACAGCCTGCTGCTGGTACCAGTTTGATCTCATCAAAAGTATTCATGCAGTTAATAGAAGCCAAAAATTGAGTATCTATTACTAATTTAAATTCTCCTTTTTGTATAAACTATACCAAAACTGGAAGACGCAACTAAAACATGCAATTTCCCCAGTGTTAGTGTTCTATCAGAGATGGCTTTGTGCAATATGCATATGAACCAGTACTTTGGTTTCACCCCAACTTTTCAACATATTCACTATTTTTCCAGGAAGTATCATTTATAAGAAGTCTTGCCAAATACCTTCAACTAGTTGCCATGTTTTTTACATGTTGACTTAAAACTTTTATCACTCATGAGGGTGAGAAGCTGAGAACAAGACACGTTCCAAACATGTGGGTTACATGAAGTGAAAACATCTCCCACAATTGTCAATTGTGGGCATGGCTAGAAAAATGCCAAACATGCCAAACTGAGTGAATTTGTGGCATGGAGAAACACACAAAAGGACTAGGCTGACACTACCAGACTTGCATGTCATGTGAAAAATGTGCAAGTTAGTTTAGTATGTGTGTGCCTCACACATACATGCAAACATATAAACCAGATTACAATTAGGTTTAATTAAAAGATACCTTTGTAGAAATAGCCTTTTTTATAACCTTTGTTATAAACTGAATGGTAGAGATTACTACTGGTAAATAAAGTTCTCTAACAAACACGGGCTCTGCAGTTGCACGTAACATTTATTACTCAAGCTATAACAATGTCACCTTGTGGAAAAAAGAACTAAAGCATGTTTTGCACTGGCATACTATAATGCCCTTTGTTGCTTGAAACACTGGTACTCACTGCTTCATCAAATCCCAGGTAGAGGAATTGTTGGTACCATTGCTGCACATCTGGTTGAGTCCTGTCCCACAGCTGGCGCTTCTGGCGTTTCAGACTGCTTAAAAACTCCTTGGCCTTGTTTTCTTTTACTGACACCTCTGTTTTAGCTGGAGCAGGAGCTGAAATTTAGTTCCCCAAAAGACAGGCCAGTAAATTTTGGATCAGCCCAAAATCTACCGTAATGAGATCTTTCATTAAACCTCCCTTCATGTTTTGTTGTTCTATAGTTAAGGGAATAATAAGAGTAATAAAAAGTAACATAAATCACTACGATAAAATATAACACAGCCCACTGATTTACTTCATTTTGTTAATTTTTTGCTCTGGCTGTACTTGTCTAAAAGAGATCCTGTAAGAAAGGAGTGAAAAGGCCTCTATATTGTGAATTGTGTGCTTTCATGAGTGATGTTAGTATCCTATCTCCATGTTGCTAAGAGGAGGATAGGAAAAGAAAATGGATACAAACCAAGAGTCACTCTGGAAACAAGCCTACAGAGGCTATGACAAATATTAACAACTAAGGATTCCGAGAAAATGCACATAAATTGACCTTAAATCAGTTCTGAGGTCATGTGGAAATAATTTTTACATATTTTACATGTTAAATTTTACATAGTAAGTCCTTTTTACTGATTGAGCCAATGTTGGAAACTTGCAAAATGTTATGTCTGACTACATACTAGGAAAGGAGGAAGGACAAATGATGAAGATGGTATTTTCACCCAAAGAACCTTGTCTGCCTGTATCCTTAGACCAACATGGCTACAACCTATACCCCTGTAGCATTGAAGGATACAGACAGAGGAGTAATGATATCAATGTAAAGAGGTTATCACTTGCATTGGATCAGCTTGTAACTGTTTCATGGGTCTGCTCCTACCCCACAGTAAGCAAAGTCAAAGTATAGTGATACACCCCTTAAATGAAACAATGGGCAATTTAACTGCTACTTACCATGGGGTAGAATGGACAGGTGAAATTGTTACAGCAGATGCAGATGAACTACTGTCAGCACTCCCCCTCTTTTCAATCCATATAATCTTTGGTCTCTCCATTCCCTGTGCTGATTTTATCTGGGTGCCTTTGGACAATGTATGCATATGCTGGAACCTGTAAGCATTACTATATTTGCTACCTGAGGCTCAGTAGTATGTAGGATCATTTGCTTTCAGGTTGGTTATTTGTCTGTCACATAGGTTATCCCCAGTCATTTCTGTTGCTGTTTTCTGCATCAGCTGTAACACATGCACAGTATTTCCAAGAACATGCGTAATAAGCCTCATATAATTGCTAATGTATGTGTCAGTGCAGGGGTCGGCAACATTTTTGGGCTGAGTGCCAGAAAAACCAACAACCGGGACCTAGAAGATGTTGGTATGCCAGGGATGAATGGCGGGGGAGCCACAAGGGGCCAGATCCTTGTTGTGGCAGCGCAGCCCTGGCCCCTTCCCTGTCAGGGCTCTGGACCCCAGTGCAGTCACTGGCAGCCTTGTGGCTGCCTGCATGCAGCCCAGGCTCTGAGCAGACCCCTAGGGCTAAGTACAGATAGTCAAAAAGCCCAAGGCTGAATTGATTCAGTCTTTGCAGGTTAGTCTAAGCTGCAGAGATTGAACTGATAAGCAAATGCACAGACATTCACTTCTGATTCAGTAAATGCAGCCACATGCCTGCAGTGGCTCAAGCCAGGTGCTGGGAGGTGCTAGAGCATGCCTGCCAGACACTGCCAAAGGGAAAGGAAGTGAGAAGCCCTCCAAGGCTTCCCCCCACTCCCTGCTGGAATGGAGATGGGCATGGCCAGGTGCCAGCCCCCGCTCTGCTGGGAGGGGGGTGGGGTGTAGAGTGCTGCCAGGCTGAGGAGGGGTTGGGTGGGGGAAAAGGTAGTGGCATTGAATTCATAAAAGCTTGAACAAGGGTAGTCCTTTCTCTGAAGTCAGCATTAAACACAGCTCAGCTGTGTGTTTGCTTCCTCTTCCTGCTGCCCCTGAGGACTCTGGGATTTGCAGTCCACAATCATAACAGCAGAACTCTGCAGAGTTGCTCATCACTTCCTCTCCCTGCTTCCAGGTTCTTCTGGGATCTGTAGTCCACAGTCACAGCCAGCACTAAGTTTAGCAGGGCAGGACAGCTCTGTACTCAGGGGAAGGGGAGCTTAACCCCCCTCCCTGGCCCCAGACCCCAGCCGGGGTTTGCCTGAGGGACCCAGTGGGCCAGCCCTTACTGCCTTAGCTAGGGAGCAGACAGGCAGGACCAGCCCTGCTCTCTGGAGCAGACAACACAGGATAACCTAAGGCTGCAAAGCATGCTGGGGGATTCTGATTTAACCTGAACCAGGAAGGGGCCTAGGACAGAAGTTTCATAAACCAGTTTGACCTAAATCAGATAAGTCTGCTGCTACATTCAGCTAGGTTTATTTTAAACCAGTTTCAGCTATTTTGAAACTGGTTTATGTGCACTGAACTTCTGTTCCGTTACAGGTTTAAACCAACTTCTGATCACTTAAACCAGTTTATGTGTAACTTCTGTTCCTAGCCCTTCTGCCTTCCACAGTGCCGGGGCTGCTTGTAGTGGGCAGCTGCAAGCGGTTGCACCGGGGTCTGGAGCCGAAGCCCGACTTGGTGACAACAGCAGCTGCACACGAGCCTCAGGAAGCACCGCAGAGAAGGGTCTGGGGCCACACTGCTCCCAGCCCCTTGCCTGCTGTGTATCGCCAGACATGTGTGAAGCCTTCACTGCCACAGAGCCTGGGCTACTCACAGTAAGCAGTGGGCAGGCTGCAAACAGCTGCACCAGGGTCTGAAGTCCCCACCCAGCTCCACTGCAGTGGTGGCTACAAACACATCCCAAGGCACATGTGCAGCCATGGGGCCAGGGCTCTGCTGGCTCTGTGGTGCACTGGATGCATCATTTGCAGCCTCCCAGCTGCATGCTACAGAGCCCAGGATACTCCCAGCAGGGCTTGCAGTCTCTCTGCAACCTGTCGTGAGCAGCCCAGGCCCCATGGCTGGTGGCAGCTGCCTCAAACCCAGGCTGGCTGTGGTGTTCCAAGCAAAGTGGCCTCACATGCCATGCTCTGGCGCACATGCTGAAGGTTGCCAACCCCCAAGTTAGTGGTATTTTTGGCATGCTATATATTTAGTAGTGGCTGTACCCAGTTGCCTCTCGTAAGTATTTCTTCCCATACTCCTGAAACTACCTTACTTTTTCATTGGAAAGACATTTAAAAACTATTTCTAATAAAAATACTCACATTAGAGTTTTGGCATCTGGCAATTGTATTTATATTTGCTTATCCCTATGAGAGCTTTTTTTTACCTTCTCGTTTTTGAAGCATCAGCTTAAGCTTATTTCCGCTTGAGCCATCTAGATGAATAAAAGTAAAGACACTCTTTATCTACGTACTTTGTACAGCAGGAAGAAAAAATATGAAAAGCACATGAAAAGAAAAAAACAGAAATGACGCCTGAATATAGGATAGCACTGAAGTAATTCTCATTAGTATCTGTCATCCTTCCAGTTCTGACACTCAAGTTCAGTGTATACTATCAAAAAGCTTTTTTCTTTTAACATGCTTTCAGCATGCTGCTTGGCACAGAAATGTGATACTGTCCTTGTTAACCTACTGCAATTGTTATATTTGTCAGCAGTTCAAGACTTCTGCTGGTGAAAGTGCTGTGATGTAATGTCCAGATTGGTGTGAAAATCCTCAGAGACTGTCACTGACTAAAAAAGCATATTAGCAAATAGACCTGCTCTCTCAAGCCTTAAATGTGTCAAAACTGTCATCTTGCTAAAATAATTTCCTGGTAGGAACTGAATATTAGGTGCCCATTGTATGTCATGTGTGAAATGTTTGAATTGTTCTGAAACCATATTCCCTGGTTTAAAAAGAGCAAGAAATGAAAAAGAAATTCACGGGGACCATAGCACTTGATTTCTTGCCAATTTCTTTGTTACTATTGAAAATGCTAATCCACCACAATTGTTGGCTCATTTTAAGCAAGCATTTTGTGCCACGTTTATACTAGAAGGGCTTGATCCTGTACTTAGTTCAAATTTCCACTGATTGTAACAAAGTTATGACAGAGTATAAGCTCTCCTTTAGCTTCCCCAAGGGGCTGGGCAGCATATAATTAATTCAAAGTGCAGCTATTAATTCGATCTTCTATGTCATTCTTTCAGTTCTGATACTGAAATGCAACACAGGCTATCCATAATCCAGCTGTGCTTCAGCACGACCAAGCTCATTTGAACTGCTTATACATAAGGTGGTGGTACAAAGAGAATATTATGGTTCTGGGGAATTTTACACCTTTCCTTTTACCCACCTCCTCCTGATAGTCCATGGCAGGGACATGTGGTTCCCAAACATGGACTTAAAAAGGACAGAATCTCAAGGAACAGAGCTAGCCTTGCTTCTTGAGCCCTTCTATTACCAATGTTAAGCTGCAACTTTGCTCAAAGTAACAATGAGCTTGTCCTGTAACGTTTATGAGGGCATCTAGTGAGGGTGGTAACAGAATGAGCCAGGTTTGGAGCAAATGTGGGTGCCAATGGAAACTGTGTGGAACCAGATTTTGTTCTTTTCAAAAGTGAAAGAAAAAAAGAATCTATGGGGGGTTCCCCCTGCCCTGATCCTGGTTTTTTAAAGTTTAACAGGGAAAGCAAAAGGTTGCATGACTGCTTGCTTTATATGTATATGCACATATATATGAGTGAGTGTGTATGCGTGTATCTAGAGTGAGTGTGTGTACATACATATATGTGGCTATATAGTGTGTGTGTACACAATGTCTGCGTATCTAAATAGTGTGCATGTATACATATTGTGTGTGTGTGTGTGTGTGTGTGTGTGTGTGTACATACACAGTGGGTGCATCTACACACGCAATTAATGTGACTGAATAAACTATGGCACAATATAAACTGGAGTTTATATTGAATCCTGACATCACTGTCTATATGTGCAGTTAGACACATTAGTTCAAAGTGCTGTTTTCTAGTACAGGCAACCCCCACTTAATGCTCATTTTTTCAGGAACCAATTAAGAGTGCTAAGTAAAACGAGCGTTGAGCAAAACCAAAAGTATTTGATGACCCAAAATGGTGGCTCCA